CCAGTGCCCCCTTACTTAGGCCCCTACATTGAAAAGATTAGAATAATGCACTTGGCTAGTTCGTCTGCAGGAGCCAAAGATGTGTGCCATATACAAGCAGACGTCGTCAGGTGGCTCTGGCTGTTTCATGGCCCAGCCGACACGATTCAGGTTTAGGTTCCAGGGCCACTGCTTTTTACCTTTTGTCAGGATCAACCCAAATCCTCAAGCACAGCATTTTTCCAACTGTAGGATCTAAAATTCAATACAACAGACAGCTCAAGAGCAGCGTATTTAAAAGTGGGATAGAAAAGAAAATACAGAAGAATAATGGAGCATGTAAAAAGGTTATATAGTCTCCTGACATGTTCAGTTCAATACTCTATATTCTGTGTATACGGGGTCACAATGTATAGTGCTTTCCATTGTGAAATGCACTAAGTAAATAATCAAAAGCTTTAAAGACTGCTGTAGGAGACCTGGGCCATCCAGTGGCTGTCAGAACAACCTGGCTAGCGTGAAGCCTGACCTCAGATAAGGAGCAGCAAATCCTCAGGAAGTCTTCAGAGTGTAAGCACTGTCTTTCTCTTTAGTTTAAGATAGGATTGCTCTTGCTTTGATTTATAAAGTGTTTTCCTTTCTTGCTGTTTATCAGATACTTTCAGATGACTCAGTGGAATGAGAAAAAGCGTAGAAAAATTAGATCTATAAACAGCACCCAGCAGAGGCCACAGGCTATCAGTTAACTAGCTTTATTTGGACTTCTTTACCGTTAAGCATTTTACTGTAATCTGGGGACGGAAGTTTTCCTTTTGAGTAAGTGGAATTTGCTCCATCTGCCTTTCAAAAAGGTGAAGGCCTTTAAAAAAATATGGGTCTACTATAGAGGGCACACCGTTACAAGGCCAAAATACTCATTTGCTGGGGAGTGCTATATAAATGTCAATGCATTTTAACTAAAGATAATGGATTTCATCATTACTTTAAGATCCAAGTAGAAAATGTTGATAGCCCATATCCCATATGCAGGACTCAATATAGAACTTAGTCAGTCTGATTTTCTTTGGTGCTATTCAGTATCACATATAGCTGTTTTCCTTCAAAAGGAAAGCCATTCAGTCTCCTGCCTAATCCTTTAAAATATACTTTGGAAGATATTCCTTATTTTTAATGCAAACCTAATTAAACTAGGATGAGTCTGTTAAAATTTTGTGAGTCTCGTAGTATTTTCAGTTGTTGGCCAATGTGGTTATTTGTGCAATCAACTTTTCTGTCACAGTTGATCTAAAGTAGTATTTATCTCGGAGCTATCTGAAAAGCAAGGCCAGCACACTGTGGAGTTGCTGAGTCCTGCTCTCTTACAAACTTCATTCATGTGTCTGTAATTCAAACCTTTTTCTACTTTATTTCCCCTTTTATAAAATAAATTTTTCTGTGATATTTTAAAAGTATTTTTCTTTAGAATTATGGATTAGTTCTATTTTTTTAAAGCATGATGACATTTTTAAAAAATGCTAATTTTGGTTATCCAAAGAGCTCCATGAGAAATGTAACTTCAAATTGTATAAGCTGATAAAGGTGTATTTTTAAAGTTATTACTTTATGTAAACCCAAATTAATTTATATTATAATTTAACACTTGCTATGATAGATATCAAACTGCTCTGATAGAAAATCTGTCACTGAACTATTCATTTAGGATTACTCTGATACCTTGATAATATTTTCCTTCCAGGTAAGTCCTTGTAACAAGAAACCCTGTGAGACTGGTACAATGAAATGTCTAATAATCAGAATTTACTTAAAATTTACATATTGGGAAACCTCAGCGTTTCTGTTAGGCCTTCATACTTCAGCATTCAGTTGGTTACCCAAAGGTTCCCAAGTCTTAGACTGAAAAACAGTGAAGTAAAAATATGGCATCTGTTGTACTGAAATATTTTCAGTATCAATTATGTTCTACTCACACTCACAAACTTAGAAGTTATACCTGGGACTTGTTACAAGGTCAGATTGTGAAGCCTTTTTAAAATGATCATCTCTCTATGTGACTTGTGCATTATATATATCAATGAAATTTTCAGGAAAAGTGCACTTGAAGAATACTGTCTCTTACTAATTTTTCTATTGACCAAATAGTCTGTGCTCTGTCTTTGGAATGCTTATTCTTTGCCGAACATGTCATTGGTTATGATAGTATTATAATTATTTTTGCATTGCTGCAATATTTCCTTCACGTCTCTGTTCCTTATCCCTCTTTTCTGAGGCTCCACTCAGTTGCCTGTTACAGTCTCTGCCTTGCTTTTGCACATTTTGATAAGATAATCTATAAACACTAATGTTTACAGTGAAGTTCTTCCTCTTGAAACTGGCCTGGTCTTTTTGTTTTTTCCTAAGCATTGGTTAATCATTCTTACTAATGACTTTTTTCTAAACAATGTTTCTTGGTATTTGGTAGATTTGGATTGCATGGTAAAATGACAGCCCATTTTAACCATGTATACCTTTTTCAAATAAATTGAGTCAAATAAAGATTTCTGATCTTCAATGTGCTTCTGTTTTTAGTTTGGGGCTAGAACTAGAAATAATATCAATCGCCTTCCCTTACCCAAATTCAACCCTCACTGGGGCCTAAATGAATGTGAATAACAGGTTGCCCAAGATCCCAGTTTTCCAAAACATACAGCATTTCAGCCCCATGTGGTTATTGCTGACTAAAAGTTTTCTGATTTTAAATGTAATACTTAGTAAATTCTTAACTATCAGTGCTGTGCCTGTGACCTAAGAAAACTGTAAATGGTTCATCTCAGTAAAGTATTTTTATTTCAGTTTAGTATGAGGGTACATACAACTAGCTTACATTGTTTCGGTGAATTCTGAAAAGTCTGAATTGTAGTTGAGTCCTTCACCCAAGAGGTGTGCCATATGCCCCTACATTGTACCTGTCAGGTGAGGACCTACCAAACCTCTTCCCCTCTTCTTGAATTTGTTTTTCCCTCTCATGTGGGCTGCCTGTAATTGTTAATCCTTTAATGTCAATTTAGTAAGGTACCTTGGGCATCCCATGTACTCAGTAATAAAATGAATGTTCCTCACATCCATCCAGGTAAATAAAAAAGATAGAAAATCTCCATCTTTTTATGGCTGAAGAGTATTCCATAGTATATATTACATACACCACAGTTTATTAATCCATTCATATGTTGATGGGCACTGGGTTGTTAATGGATATATTTTGAAAGCACTAGGGGAGAATTTTCTACCTGCAGAATCAGTATTGGCAGAGGTGATTAAGTCACTTCTGACATGGAGAGGTTTGGCCTTAAGAAAATGATTATTATTAATGATTTGAATGATTAATTTCAGATAGCTCTGTGCAACTAGAGTGATCATAAAGCCATCAGTTTCTTTTATGCTTTGTCAGCCAATAACTCAATGCTAGAAACTGCCTGAAACAGGATTCCATATTACTTAATTTCCCTAACTGATTACTGGATTCTCTTGAGCTCTTTTCATATATTAATTGGCCATAGCTTGATTCCACTGGGAGGGAGGGGAGGAGTTTTCTTGCTTTTTATGTTTCTTTCTTTTCTTTTTTTTTTTTTTGGTAAACACAAGAATTTCACTTTATCACCCTTGGTAGAGTGCCATGGGAGTCACACAGCTCAACAGCAACCTCCAACTCCTGGGCTTAGGCAATTCTCTTCCCTCAGCCTCCCAAGTAGCTGGAACTACAGGCACCCGCCACAACACCTGGCTATTTTTTGTTGCAGTTTGGCTGGGGCCGGGTTAGAACCTGCCACCCTCAGCATATGGGGCCGGTGCCCTGCCCACTGAGCCACAGGCGCCGCCCTTACGTTTCTAGATATCTTGAAGAGCTACAGGATATCCCTTTCTTCTCTTGTGCAAAACTACCTTGGCTATTTGTGGCCCTTGACTGTCCCAGATAAATTTTAACATTGGTCACGTTCCACAAACATTCTTGCTATTGCACTTATCTCTGGAGTGAGGATTCTTTTTAAAGTATAGTATCACTAGCGTAGCATCGTTACATATAGGCACAACTTCACTTTTTCCCAGCACTGATGATCTTCTTTACTAGCTTCACATTTGAAATGTTTCCCACAAAATAAGAACATAACAGTTCAACAACTGGCTGAAAGGCAGCTGTAGGAATGCTGATGCAGTACAGGGCCAACCCGACATGTCATGTAGACTGATTTCAAATGTATTTATCTCACCTTAAATCCCCAAATGTATTTTTGTGTATGTGCGTGCATGTGCCCCTCAGATAGAAGGTAGACACAAACATGCCTTGGGTGTTTAGTGGGAAGCATTCTGTGCTTCCCAGGGGGTTTTGCTGTTGCTTTGCCCAGCCCGCTGTCAAGGGCAGGCCAACATGAGTATAGACTTGCCCCAAAAAGAGGAAACTTAAAAATTTTGAGTTACCAACAATTCAGACCTCAGTATTTTCCTTTTCTGGAGCAAACCAATCAACCATGACCTCTGAGAAACACAACGGAATCCAGTGTTAATAGCAGAATGGTATATTCTTTAGCCTACTCAGAAAGGCACAGCAAACATCATTCAAACATAGCAATCTGTGGTGGCCACCACCACTTGGGTTTTTAGCCATTTCAGAAGTTTACAAGACCTGGTCATATACTTTGGGGGGGGGGGGATGTATGTGTACACACATACACCAGCGTACATACACCATCTATGGCCCATTTGTCAACTTGGGCTTCATGCTTATCAAATTGTGGCAAAACTATTAGATATGCTGATGTATTAACTTAGCTTAGAAAGTTAACGCACAAAGAACTGTTGTAAAAAAAATCTTTGGTGGCATATTAAGTCATACTTCAGTGTGAAGACAGAAAAACCCTCAGTTAGAAATCTCTCTTATACAAGTTGATAAAAAGCTTCAAACCCATTAATATTCTTTTTAAAAAAAAAAAGTCACCCACATTAATTCTAGAGGTCTCAAGGCATGATCTATAAATCAACCAGCCCCTCTGTTACATAATTTTTAATGGCTATTTTTAGTTTAATTGAGTTTAATTTAAAAATAAACAGCAAATCACAGTGGCCTTTAAAAATTCCATAAAATACCAACTTCAAAAATTACACAAACTCTTACAGCCAAAAGCCAAGGAGAGAATTATAAAAACAATTTGAGAATTAAAGACCTTTAAATATTTTGGTAAACTCAAAAATCGTCCAAGTCCCATCATCCTCTCTGTCCCTGTGACGGGTGCCTGGCACAGGGGCTGGCTCAGGTGACGTCAGAAGCACTTGCAAATAAAACAAGAGGAGCTTGTGAACATGTCTTTGTTCCAGGGGAGGAATGGGCAGCAGCTTTTAAACGAGGTTGAATTCCCTCAGGTTTAGTTGTAGAATTGTGTCTTTGACAGCAGCAAACACAAAGCGGATATTCTCTGTATCTGTAGCACATGTGAAGTGGGAGTAGATGACTTTCTCTTTGTCAGGATTCTGATCTTGGTAAAGCTTCAGGATAAAGTCTCTGGCTGCTTTCACATCTTGCTTTGGTCCTAGACACAAATATAATCAGAGGAATAAGAAAGGGTCCCCATCATGTCCTCCCAAAACCCTTTTTAAGGCACTCTTGTTCTTACTGGGGATCCTTTGATCTGTCTGTATTTCTGGGGAATAGTTTACCTGAAACATTATTTTTATTGCGTCTCATTATGAACCCATGAAATAGTAACATTTTTAAGTGTTCTTGGGTACCTAAAAATTGTACTCGAAGGTGATTTGATTAAAAATAGTGACCCAATTAAATTTGCAGATTTGGATCACTTTTTAAGAGAAAGAATCTTTATTAACTTATACAGACAGATGTGGGCTAGGAGAAAGGGAAGAATGTGGAAACTAACATTATTAAAGATTGATTTAAAGCTTGAGGGCTCTAATTCTCTATCAGTGATATTGAGTCCTCTTATACCTAAAGTAAATCAGCAGTAGGGCACTAAACTTTCCTGCCCTGGACAGGTTATAAATAAAGAACTTAAGAGTCCCCTGTGTCTGGGAATGAGGACTGCCACACTTTAACCTACATGTCAGAAGCACCAGGTGCTCTGACTGGCTAGAGGAACGCAGAGATAACCTGGCACAGCTCTGCCCTTGAGTTAGCGGACAGCTGTATACAAGGATACTATACACCGTCAAGATGCAAGAGCCAGAGGAGCAGGCAGCACCTCCACTGTGAAGCACACTGGGCGGCGGGGTGGGGGGGGGGGGGCACTGGCCTCCAGAGGAGGAGCAGCCTCAGCCGGTCTTACACTACTGTAGGCGGTGAGTGGAGTTAGCGAGTGTCCTCCGGGCTCTGAGGGGCATGTGTGGAGGTGCTGAGGTGGTGACACATGTGGCGCAGCTAGGGCTTCCCTTCAGAGGTGGAGCTGGGGAGAGAGGGTGCTCCAGGCAGCTCAGGGAGCCCCTGGGAGCTGGGCCGTGCTGCCTCTGGACTAATGCTTGGGAGACCAACACAGAAACTCTGTCCCCAAGATCAACACTTACCTGTGTATTCTGGGAAATAGCTAATTAGATGAGAGTACATGATTTTCTCCTCCAAAAGATCTTTCTTATTTAAGAACAAAATCACAGATGAGTTCAGAAACCAGGGGTAGGTGATGATGGTTTTAAATAAGGCTTTGCTCTCTTCCATGCGGTTCTAAGGAAGAAACAAGGGACTTGGAATAAACTAGAAAGCAATAACCTTTTGAAAACAACATGCCAAATTGCTAGTCTCTCCGTCCTCCTCTCACTCGGCTGCAGTCTGAGTCCCTGCTCTGCTGAGGCTGGTGTGTATGTAGGGCCACCAGCACCTGGTCTCCCACTTCTGATTACTCCCCTCCTCCACCATCACCTACTGCACCCCAAGATCTCTTCTCTAGCCCCAAACAAACATGTAAGGAAATAAAAGAGGCTTTAGTGCAACTTGGAAAAGGAAGGTTCATGCCCACATTTGACAGGTTTTCTGTGTTGTGTAAACATTGGGATGACCAGGTGGGGAGTGCCAGCTTCAGACCAGAGATGGTCACTTCAGTTGGCTGTGAGTTCCAGAAGGAGCCTTGGGAGGAAGGCAGGTAGAAGGCATCAGTGCACCTGAGCCTACTCTGTGCTCCATTTTACAAGCATGACACTGTCCCCATGTAACGGATGAGCACACTGCTGTTTAGAACATTTAAATAACTCTCCCAGACCTGTATAATAGTGGGACCTGGTAAAGATTATATAGAAAGATAGTAATAATTTCTAAACATTAGACATATGAAAGAAAATATTAAGTGCTCATACTTATAGAGAGTAGACAGGGCACATACAGATCTCAGCTGGTGACAATACTTGTTCTGGATACCACTGCCATGTTGCTCTCCCTCGCCCCACTTTTTTTTTTTTTTTAGTCAGAGGCTCTATTTCTCCAGCTAGAGTGCAGTGGCATCCTTATAGCTCACTGCGACCTCAAACTCCAAGGCTCAAACAATCCTCTTGGTTCAGCCTCCAAGTAGCTGGGACTACAGGCTGCACCACAAAAGCCAGCTAATTTTTACAATTTTTTTTGTAGAGATGGGATCTTGTTCTTGCTCAGGCTGGTCTCAAACTCTTGACCTCAAGCAGTCCTCTCATCTCGGCCTCTCAGCATGCTAGGATTATAGGCACGAGCCACCTCATTGGGCCCACTTGCCAATATTTCTAGGAGGATAAAAAACAACTTCCCTTTACAAAGGGAAAGGACCAGACTGGAAAATGTGAAAGCTCAGCACACATGTTCTAGAGAGACATTCCATAATCTCTACTTCCCTACAGCTGCCAGCTGCCCAGGCTCTTTCTCCCATGCAATATGCTTTAGGAATTAAGATCTGGAATGCATTACCACAGTAACAACCCCTCACCTATTTTTAAAACTTCTTTAAATGCATTATGATCTTATCAGTAATGATCTTCATAAGATATATGAAAAAAATTCCTGTACAACATACTGAATGGCTATAATACCCACAACCAGGAGGGGAAATTTAGGAGTGGCACCCACTTAATTTTTCACAAAATACTTTGTGATCTTTAGGAAAAAAGAAATTATTTAATTTCTAAGCATACTGGGCTCAGATACTAGTCCCTTGCACACGTTTCCTGAGAAATGTTACAAATAATTTTGAGACAGAGTTGGAGCTAATTTATATCGATAACCAGGTGTCTTAAAAAAAAAAATTCCCCCACTTGGGTGAGCTAGGCAGATTTCTGTTCCTTGCACAGTGATAGAAGAAATTGGGTTAATCCTCCACTAATTAGGTAATGTAGCTGTGCTCCTCTGAGAAAAGTCTGCTCTCAAGAAATACAAGGTACGGTTTGCTCATAGTTACTGCCTAATGCTAGACAGAGTTCTTTATTGATTTACTTTAATGCCCTGGAAACAAGACATCTTTCTAAAAGGTCAAAAAGTCTTGTGCAAGTTCAAGGGAAAAGACCATGGGGAAGACATTAGTATTCCATAGAAGACACCCCCAAGATGACATAGTCACTGGGATGACCCTGTCACTTCCCAGGCATGTCCAGCTAATGTATTTGGACTCAGTCAGTGCTGTGGAAGCTCTGAGGGGACACTGGGTCAGTCCCAGATTGCCCTGAGCAAGTCCTTCCCAGGGGAAGTAAAGGCAGATGCCATCCCAGGCAGCCCAGGACTCCACTAGGGACTGAACGTGGGAGTGTCATGGGCAGATAGAGGCTGGGAAGCCTGTGCTCGGTAAAATATGTTAGCCACGGTGTTGCTCAACTCTGGCTGTTCATTAGAATCCCTGAGGGGCTTAGAAAAGAAACCCCCAACTTAACCCCAATAAATATGAATCTCTAGTGTGAAGTCCAAGAGATTCCACTTGCTGCCAAAGAGAGAACCTCTCCTTTTGAATGATTTCTAATCTTACCAGCACATGAGATTGACCCAAGGAGGTGTTTTTAAAAATTACTATGCTCAGGCCACACCCGCCACCAATTAAATCTGAATCACTGGGGTTGGGCTCATCAGACTCAGGGTTTTTTGTTTTGTTTTGTTTTGTTTTTGAGACAGAGTCTCACCCTTGCCTCAGCTTCCCAAGTAGATGGAACTACAGGTGCCTGCCACAACGCCCGGCTACTTTTCTGCTGCATTTGTCACTGTTGCTTAGCTGGCCTGGGCTGGGTTTGAACCTGCCAGCCTGGATGTAGATGGCTGGTGCTGTACCCACTGTGCTATGGGTGCGGAGCCAGGGTTTTTAAGTTATTCAGGGAATCCCAGGATGTACCCAGGTTTGAGAACTGGGGTTCCAGGCTATTTGATGTTCAATCCTTCTTATGTATTTGAATTTCCTCTGATCATGTTAAAATGTAGATTCTGACTTCATCTGGATCGATACGGTAGATTTGCGATTGTAACAGCACCCAGGTGACCCTAGGCTGCTAGTCCACGGACTACAGTTTGAATAATGAGACTATTTACCCTAAGGAAGAGCGTCTATTAGCTGACGTGGAAACCACAGAAATAGGTCTCTGGCTTCCACAGCTACCTACATTCCCCACCCAGCCTACCTCATTGTTACACTCAGCCAGGACCTGGTCATATTCGCTCAGAGCGACCAAGAAAATAATGGAAGTGACGCTCTCAAAGCAGTGAATCCATTTCCGTCTTTCAGACCGCTGGCCGCCAACATCCACCATCCTGTTCAATAGAAACACAGATCCCTCAAGGACATGAATCACACACCATGGAAATCAGTGCTCGTTGGGGTCTTCAGTAATTTTTAAGAGGGAAGGGATCCTGTGTCTCCAAAGTTCGAACACCTGTGCTTTAGCAGTGAGGGACCCCTGAATGTTCCCTCGCAAAGGAGGCACAGAGTATAAATGGAATTCCTGGGGCCAGATGCAAAGGTGACTCCAGGGGAGCCTGCTTGGGGACACTGGTTAGGAAGCTGCTGCCATAGTCCAGGCAGAAAACACAAACATCCCAGGGGTTTTCTGCCAAGCACCAGATAGAAAAGGAGCGGCAAAGCCAGCAATCTCCTGGGCCCCTTGGCTTTCTGTGGGCCCTGAGCCCATTTCTGTTTTCATGGCTACTCTCATTTATCTAATCTTTTCTGCTTTAGCAGATGCCATCTACTTTCCCATAAAGGTAGGCAAGTGTCCTCTGCCCAATATGGAAATCCAAGGACTTTATCTGTGTCTTTGGGAAAGATGTACAGGCCCCCCACCCCAGGAATCCCAAACATGAATGCTCCAGAAGTCAGGCAGTTTATGGAAATGAGCCAAGTGGGCCTCTCTGAAGCACAAAAGCCCACACTGCCTGAGGCCAGGTAGTGGACAGGGGAGGGCTGGTGCAGAACTGCAGCCACTGTAGGAGACAAATGCAGGCTCCCCATGACAAGATCCTCTGGCTCTTCAGGAGAAACAAGATATCAACTGCTTTAGGTGAAACATCCCCGTATTTAAATGTTAGCTCTAAATTTCATAATAACAGTGGGCCAAAGAAAATACATAGGAGGCAGATGCAGCCCACAACCTGCCAAGTCCCACCTTGCCACTTCCTCACCCCTCATATCCCAATCCTTGAAGACACTGGACCAGTGTGGTTGGTGGTACCCAAGCCAATTCCCTAGGACTGTTGTCTAGGAAGGTGCTGGAAAGATGACCAAAACTCCACCCCAGCCCTTGCCCAGAGGCACAGCCACTCCTACAATAATGACTCCAAGGCTGGCTGTGCTGTGCCACTTCACAGCAGGAAAGGGACACTGCAATTGTCAAGAGGTAGGGCTTGAAAGAAGTCATTCTATACCGGCCTCCATCTCAAAGGTCAGAATCCTTCATTCAGAAGGATCCCACTGGGGGAGGCGCTCTGAGCTGTGAAAGAATACGTCACTGGTTGGGAATGTTAAACCTATTGCCAGATTCCAGAAAGAAGTGCAACACCCATTCACCAAAGCCCAGAAAAGATAAATTTAGAAGAAATGGAAAGTCTTTCTTAAAACAGAAACTTTGGGAACCCCTCTTAGAGGTTTTGGAAATTGCAATCAGGCAGCTGACTGAAAAGGTTTAGATAAATTCATGGGTAGACAGGCACAGGGAGTGACCATTAAAATCAGAGATCTGCGAACAAAGATACAGGATACCTGCTATGGGGCTGGACCAGAAGACTCCCCCAGTATGACAGTTCTGAAGAAGTACTGAGACCTAACTGGGGATAAGACAGGACCTGGATGTGGGAAGAATGGCCTTGTACTGTCTCAGCTAGAAAAGCAAGTGTAATAATTGTTAGGAACAAGGGAAATGAGGGTTACAGAAGTGTTTGGAAATTTGCAGTGCTATGCGTATGCCCCACATTATTATTATTCATTTTTTACCATGATTAAATACAGTCGAGATCTACTTAAGTCACCCAAAAAGCATTCCCTGTGTTTGTAAGTGGGAACGCATACATTTTTGCACAGCGGTAAGTAGTTTGTATATATTCTTTTATGCAATTTGAATACACATGTTTCTTTAGGACAGATCTTGGAGAAGGAAACAGAAAGGAAGAGAAATATTATTCAGCTTTAAGGGAAAGGTGTCAGTAATAAGTATATTCAATTTGTGGATTACAGAAGTAAATGTAGGGGGGAGGGTGTCTCAAGTAAGATTGATTCCAGTTTCCAGCAAGGAAACTCTTCTCTAAGGGGAAGGGGAAGCTGAGTCCCTCTCATTCCAGGACTTGTGACCTAACACAATTTTAAATGCCCTGTGGCACAGGAGATCATTCTGCCCTAAGAGACAGAACCCCTGCTCAGGAATAACAACTTTAAGAATCCCTCTGGGGACTTCCAAGCCTGGGAAGACCTGTTGTTAATGGACCGCATTAGGGAGACAGTCTTACCGAAAGATGATGTCTTCCAAGTCAAATGGATACTCGATGATGCCAGTGGTGGGCACACGGACACGGAGCACATCCTGCTGCGTGGGCACAAACGATGGCGTGGCGATGCGGTCGATGTCTGTCAGGTAGCTGCAGAATCAGAGGATGTGGAGCTGAGCCTCCTTCTGGGGAAGGGAGAAGTGTCCACCCTCCTCAAAGGCAGTCACCCCCAAGTCACAGTGACCCCTCCACAGAGACACATGAATTCCATCAATGATGTTCTTGAGAGCCAGCCCTGGGCCAGGCTTCTCCACCTTTCCTAGAACTGTTGTGAAGATTATATGGATGACAAGCACTTTCCCGAGCCTCTGGCAATGTGCAGATCACTCCTCCTAGTCCAGAGTTCTAAACCCCATCACACCCATTTGGCCTCTGAGAGACACAGAGGGACTGGAGGACTAGTAGGCTGTTGGAAGCGGCTCTTTCTGACTCCCCATCTGTCCTCCCCCCTCCTACTCACCCTCACCCAGGAAAGTTATATAATGCCTGCTCTTGCTCAATGAACTAGGGTTTCTAAGAAAATATACAGATATAAAACAAGCCAAGGGGAAATTCAAAATAATAGCAATCAAGAAAATGTTTTCCTGTTATAGAGAGTGAGAAACTAAAATCTCCTAAAATAACCCAAAACTTGCCTTAGATTATTTTTTGCCATCTATTAAAGCCCTGAGTTTAAATATATCATTTTTTCTATAGTAAAATAGGAGAATACGTTTTTGGAAAAGAAACAAACTTTAAGGCCCATATCAAATGCACTTTTTAGTAAAATAACTTTAACTCATTCCCTGGCCACCAATGGAGTTGGGAGATTGAGAGGCCCCTACAAGCCAAGGTTGGCCCTGCCTTCTCCTAGCACAGTGATGTCAGGGGCTAAGAGGTCAACCTGGACACCAACCAACTGGCCACAGGAAAACCCTGCTCTCCACACAGCCTTCCCATCCAAGGCAAAACGCTGGGTCAGCCTTGCATGACCCACCGCACCCCAAGTCTACTCTTGCCCAGTTACCACCCTCATGGCTCATGGCTGTTTCGCCTGTACTTCAACGTGTGAGTCTTTGATTTATGCCTGTCTTCTCCACCAAACTGAGAGCAGGGAGCAGTAGTTGTACCTGCAGCCCTTACCACAGTAGCTGGCATGGCACAAGCACACGTCAAATTTTTCTGAAATAGACACATATCCAAATAGGCAAAGTGACTGAGACTCGCTGACCCACATGGAGGAAAAGCACGGGGGCCTCAAGTCCTGCCAGTTCTGAATGCGGGTGATTGTCTGGGTTTCAGGGAGCCACTTTCTCTGTGGCAGCCCTGTCCACCCTTCTTAGCCACTCCCACCTACCTCTCAGGGGCCTTGCCCAGCTCTCAGGGTTACAATGCATCTCCCAGCTGTGCTGGTGGGCCTCCCCATGTGGGTCTGCAGCACAGCCCTAGCCAATCCCCTGGGCCTTCAGAAACAAGGAGCACCAGGCCGTCTCAGAAAGGGCTGTGCTGGTTCTGCCTTTGTGCTGTCACTGCTCCTTGGGCTGTCAGGTAGTTCTTCCTCCTCTCAGGGATTTTTTTCTTCCTTCCTTCTCTTTTCTATGCAGACCTAACTCCTTACCAGGTTTTCTGTTATTTTCCTGACTTGATGCTTTTTTGCATCTAAATGTCCCAACCTGGATTAATGACTTTGAATTCTCAGCCTGGGATAAATGCCAGAGGAGGTTCCATCTACACCACAGGAGACAATTCCAGATTCCTTGCTCCCATGGCTCATCTAGACATGGAGACAAAGCCACCCTCCCCACCCCCACCCCCCCACAACCAGCTCAGAGGGTGATGGCAGGGTCTGAAGGGAAGAGGGAGGATCTCAGGAAAGGACTTCAGAGCCCTCAGAAGATGGAAAATGATAAGGGGCAGGCATGAAAGAGCCAAGCTAGAGCAGCAAGAGTCATCACCTCTTAAGAGAAGGACTATGATCAAACTATGTGCCCAGTGACCTGGCTAAAGGAGGCATTTGGGAAATTCTTAAGAAAATGAAAATCTGTGATTTCCATGGGACAGCTTACATCCAGGCTATCTAAATAGAAATCTTTCTGTCTTCAGGAATCAGTGATTTAGAACTCCATCTTTATGGATCCAAACCTTTGCAGGCAGTCAACAAAAGAGTGAGATTCATCTTCCCATAAGCGCAAACTACTATCTTCCCCACTAGAGGGCAGCACCAGACCAGCTGCTGATGGTGGCGGACCTGCTGGCCTGAGCTCTTGAATTTAAGATTTTAGAGCAAATGGACCTGCTGGCTTCTGAAGGGGAAACCAGAAAGGTAGATATTGGGAGGAGGAAACTGGAAGCCAAAGTAGGTGTCCTCCTTGTTTAAATATGATCATTTCAGCACCCAGATGAGATCAGTCCCCTTAGGGCCTAAGGAACTCTCAATTTCACTGAGTCTCTCATTGAAAATGGCAGTCTTAAAACACGGAACAGGCGGGTGCGGACAAGAAGAGACACCTGGCGTGACAGTGACTGAAGGGTTTTAGGAGGTGGTAAGAGACAGACCCAAGAAGTCCGGGGATACAGAAAAGCAGAGAGAGGTGGTGTAGGGGCTGCGCACCCCAGTTTAACAGTCTCCTGCAGGAGGCTGGGGGCCAGCCTGGGGCAGCTGGGCGGCTCTGTACTCACTACTTGGTGGAGTCGGACAGCTGGTACTCCCGCCGCCTGTCGTAGCACTCCTGGATTCCCGGGTCCTGCCAGAGCTGCTTGATGGCCTCTGCCTGGTCCCTTGAGAGCATAGAGACCTTGTCTACTTCCACCTCCCTGATCATCTGGGCATTTTCCTGTAAAAGAAAAGAGTACCTTTCAATAAGCAAAGTAAAGGAAGCCCACCTGCTGGTGACTGGGGGATGAGACTTGACCTGGTTTACTGGTTCAGGAGAGCTCATTAGCTGCTGAGGGGTGTGCGGAGGGTGCCTGCCCAGGGCTGCTCACAGGTGGAGATGATGTGGCTCCTTAGCTCAGCGCAGAACCCACCGAGAGCCCCACACCCTGCTCCCAGCAGCGCCCTGGGGCGCCCTGGGGCTCCCTGGGGCCAGCTTCACCGGCATTCAGCACCAAGGGGCGAATGAAGAAACACTGGCACAGCATCCTACCAGCAAAGTTACTTCCTCCTTAACATTCTGCTCATGTGAATATCTGCGCCGCCAAGGGGGCCATTCAGAAATAACCATCCTCAGTGGCACCCAGGGGTGGGCAGGAGGAGCGGGTTCACCCTGGGTATGGGCAATAAGGAGGGTGTTGTCTTTAGAGAACTGAAAAACAAAAATATCAGTGAATCTCTAGCCTTTTCTCTTTCCTTTATGAAAAAATTCGTTGAATAGGCTTTACATTTTAGAGCAGTTTCAGGTTCACAGCAAAATTGAGGGGAAAGTACAGAGAGTTCCACCCCGTACACTTCTCACCATCTACCATGAGTTCCTGAGAAGACTCTTTCCCACTGGGCCAACCCCTCCCACTGCCCCTCCATGCCACTGATTGTTATAAATGTATTGTTGCCATACTTATTAAATGATTATGGCTCCCTTGCAGTAATTGTTAAGCTCATTACTATGTAATTATTATGATGTTACCATAGTAGTTCTGGTTTACCGGCCACTCACTGTACACCAAGGATTCTACCTACACCACCTCATCTAACCAAGGGAAGGCGAGCCTGAGGCCAGAACTCCTTCCAAACCTTAGAAAGCAAAAATGATCAGGCCGGCCTGCATGCACAGCATGGCCACGCATTGTCTCCAAAGTCTCAGCAGCCCTCCCTTGGCTGGTGGTTCTGAAGGACAGACAAACCTCGCCAGACAGACAGGACCCCAAGGCTCTTCTCCCCTCCCACTTCCCGCATCTCCCAGGGAGTATTACACATGTGCACCATCCTGCGTTCACTGGCAGCTGTGAATCAGCAAAGCAACTGCTTGGTAGCTGTGATCTCAAGTTTATAGGGCACCTCCTGAACAGCTGCTTTGATCTTGCACAGCTCATCCTTGGAATCACCCCGCAGGAAGCCACAGAGAAAACAAGGATCTTAAAGATTCACTTGGCTCAAGGCAAAACCAAAGGCTCTAAGTCAACATGATTTTACTCCACATCCATCTCTCACACACACACACACACACACACAGAATCACAAATACTCTTCCCCAAGACTGTGGGATCCTTCCGGTGGGGTCTGAAACAAGGTATAGGCAGGAGGAGGTGGTGGGAAGCACCGCAGGATCAGGAATCAGGACTGATAATTCTAAGTAATGCAACCAGGAAATTGAAGGACCGTAACAAGCTACCTACTTCAGCATCCCCACTTGTAAAATGAGCAGTGATTTTCAGGGAAACCTGAATTATAAAGTATTACTCGAATATATATAGAACTAGCCTTTATTATTGTAGCAGATGCCAAAAAGTTATTTTTTGTTTGCAAAAATAGGACATATTTGTAGCCCAGTAAACCCTGATTCCTGATGCTGCCCGCTGGGTGCCCTGTGGGCCAGAGAAGAGGATGAACCGAGAGCCTGGACGGTATTCATCTCCCTCTTTCCACCCAAGTAGGTCCCCAGTAGAGAAAATGAGAAATTGTAGCTAAACAATTTGTACCTTTATTTACAAAATATTTACTATACTTAGGTATAGTTAGCTCCAATTTCCCTATGTTTGGCAACTTTAGGGGGGACTTTTGGGACACCCCATATTTCTGCCTCTCCTCCTCAGACCCAGTGTAGGGTCGTACTTCAAAATGAGACTAGAAGTCACTTCTGTTTATTCAGGGGAGAAACTTCATAAAGAGTCAGTGAGCAATTCACCACATTGCCTTTCATCTGGCCTGGGGCTTCTGGGAGCACGAGACGAGATGGGGCCTCCATCACTCAGGCCTCCTGAGTGACTTCCATGAGCAGTATGATCACAGTGTAATGATCAAAATCTAGAGATTAACACTGGCACAATATTATTATCTATCTTATCTTCAGACCTCACCCAAAGTTTGCCATTTGTTCCATGAACGTCCCTTATCTGGTCTGGAGCCCAATCTAGAATCGCATGCTGTCTTTCGTAGTTGTATTTCTTTAGTCACCATTATCTGGAAAAGTTCTTCACTGAATGAAGTCATTTTTGTCACTCTGAACAAGCCTGGCCTGGACAAGGGTTTGTTCTTTGGTCCTACTTCGTTGTGAGGACAGATAGACAACGGAGTGACAGCCAAGGGCCCACAGAGCATTTCAGGGTCAAGTATTAGGTAATCTATTACCTTCATTTAAATAAAAATTTCGGCCAGGTACTATGGATCATGCCTGTGATCTTAGCATTCTGGGAGGATGAGGCAGAAGGATCCCTTGAGTCCAAGAATCCAAGACCAGACTGAGCAAAAGTGGGATCCCATCTCTACTAAAATTAGAAAAAAGAGCCAGAAATTGTGGCAGGCTCCTTGTGGTCCAGCTACTTGGGAGGCTGAGGCAGGAGTTTGCAGTCAAAAAATAAAATAAAATAAATTTTCTATTGAACTATAGAATATGATTTTTATATACTCTAATAATGTCTGTGTGTTGTTAAGAGGGAGCTTTGTGCCTATTTCCCCCCAGCTTGGCTAACCGGGCTCCATGGGCATTTAACAGGCACCTTTGACAGCCTCCACAGCGCACGTGCTGTAAAAGCAAGGGGACCCTCCCACAATGTGGGGAACATTTTGTGTCATTTCCGACTAGCTTCTTTATCTCATAAAGTCAGAAGTGGAGCAGGGTTAGGGAGATGTCATATCCTGGGTAGGGGACATGCTGGTTTGAGGCGGCCAGCGTCTCAGTGGAGATGTCCAAGAAGCAGAGGAATAAAATGAGCCTGTAGCTCATGGGGGGTCCCTGGCTTGGGGAGCATATTGAGTTGAAATTGCCTAACGCATTCGTTTAATTGAAACAGAAAAAGAAAATCAGTCTCAAAGGAGTAAATATTACAGGAGCAAACTCAGCAGATCCAGAAACATGAGCAGGCTCTCAAAACACTGAGCTCATAGCTGGCGGTCCTGCCTTTCCTTTCTCAAACAAAACCATCATTTTCACTGCTCTGAAGGGAGAACAAGGAAAACAGATGTCCTCCATGTGTGTTTCGCTCAGAGATTCCCAGGCTAGCAGTAAAAGAAGCTGCTGATGAAGTGATGCCTTGCCAGGTCCACGCAGGGATCCACGGCTGCTGGTGACAGTCCCTGCCAAGCCCAGCGGGCAGCCCCATCTCCTCCACATCCTCACCACGAGGGGCCTCCACACCATCAAGGCCCCAGTCAGTGGGCTCAGAGCTTTCTCTTCAAGGCTGACTCTCCCAATTAAGCTAGAGTTCTTGTCCTTTCATTAGATAATGAAACACTTTGTGAAACTTTTTGCATTTGTACTTATTTAGGTATTTTTGAATTGACACAGTTGTAAATATTTATTATATAAAATATGATGTTTTGATATAGGTATACATTGTGGAATGGCTAAGTCAAGCCGTTTAGTATCTGTATTACAATACTTACTGCTTTGTGGTGAGAGCACTTAAAATCGACCCTCTTAGCAATTTTTAAATATACAACACATTGTTACTAATTTAGCATAATGTACAATAGATCTCTTGAGCTATTTCCTCCTGTCTAGTGGACATTTTGCTTAAAATTAATATTCGTTAACGTATCATCCACAATAAAAAAATTGAATGTTTCAAGTATCTACTGTGATATCGAATACCTATAAACTACACAAGGGTTTTATAAACAAGAGAGATTAAGATAAAATATACGATTAAGAGTTCTTTGTAGCATAGTACTTCCAACTTTTGCACAATCACCTCTCTCTCTTTGTTCCAAAAACTACCCTGAGGTCCAAGATCACCATACATGGGTTACCAAAAATTCAACTATAGGTTTGGCACCTATACTTCAGCAGCTAGGGTCTGGCCACATATACTGGGGCTGGCGGGTTGGAACCTGATCCAGACCTGCTAAACAATTATGACAACTACAACAAAAAAATAGCTGGGTATTGTGGTGGGCACCTATAGTGCCAGCTACTTGAGAGGCTGAGGCAAGAGAATGGCTTAAGACCAAGAGTTTGAGGTTGCTGTGAGTTGTGACACCACAGCACTCGACCAAGGGAGACATAGTGAGAGACGGTCTCAAAAAAAAATTATGAAGTGAAATTTCAGTGTCTCATAACCATTATGTTTTGAAGCATCTCAAGCATCACATTATAACTGGGCTCAGTGGCTCACAGCTATAATCCTAGTACTCCAGGAGGCCAAGGCAGAAGGATTGTTTGAGCTCAGAAGTTTAAGACCAGGCTGAGCAAGAGTGAGACCCCCATCTCTACTAAAAATAAAAAAAATAACCAGTGTCCCGGCGGGCACCTGGAGCCTCAACTATTCAGGAGGCTGAGATCTCTTGAGCCCAAGAGTCTGAGGTTACTGTGAGCTATGACGAAACCAGGGCATTCAACCCAGGGCAACAGAGTGAGACTCTGTCTCAAAATCAAACAAACAAAAATTATTGCATTATAAAGAAAATGCCCATCAACTATGCCAGAGAAAGTATTTTTCCATAGAAAATAAACAAGGCACTTCTACTTCTGGTAAAGGATGACTAAGAAATTTGGATAAACTCTCCCACTAAGAGCAGCAAGAAATGATAGACAATTTTTTTAAAAGATGCTTGAAAGTATTAAAAAGCTGATGAAATAGTAAATAATTGCTGAGCCAGAATAGAGGGGAAGACCGTGCGTAAGCAGTTGAGTCTGGCATTGGGGGTTCTTTCTGCCTATTCTGGAAGGAAAAGTTGATG